GGGCCAACAGTACTGAAATCTCCACAGCATTTAAAACACAACATTATATAATACGAACATGTGAATGTACAATAAACATGTAAACATTATCAACAAGCATGCCGATTTAGGTTTCTTCTGTACCACTGGGCCAATAGTACTGGAATCCTTACATCATCTAAACACCGCATCATAAAATATGAATGTGTGAGAATACAATAAACATGTACACATTATCACCAAATATGCAGATGCAAATTTCTTTAATTGTTCTTTATGTATTTCTAGCATTATTTTCACTTATTATATCCTGTAATTCACCTGGTCATTTTTCATATTCAGATTCTTCCAAAATTCCTCCATTCTCTTATCTATTCTCCCATTTCAATCTGATTTCCACAAGGCACATCCTTTTCCCAAAGTTTTCCAGAATAGTCCTAATATTTCTCTCATATTTTCCACAAGAATTTAGAATATAATTTCTACTCCAGCTGTGAAGAGCAAATTAAACTTACCTTTGCTCCTAGCAACGGTTTTAACCTAACCAACGTCTATTTCCTTTATTCAACTCAATAACTTCTTACTAGCAGCTCCTGCTTCCGATCTTGCACGAAAACCTTCCCCTATATTATTCCCGTATGACATTGTTTAGATGATAATTCAATAATGATGGTATAGTTTTTTCATAATTTTTTCTGTTTGTTTACATTTTCAAACACATGATATAATTTTTTGGTGGTTGAGTCATGGTTATCAAAACTATGATTTTCTTCATTTTTTGAAACCAATGATTAGGTAGTTTTATGATGGTTTAATAATTTTTTTCCCTTTATACCCTTAATATTTTTTATTATTTACAACATTACCTTTCTCTTTAATTTCTTATGCCCTAAAGTTCTTCTTATATTCTTATTCTTTTCAAAATATTGTATATATATATATATATTATTAATTATATATATTTTATATATAAACATGTATTTATATATTCAATTAAATTAATATATTCGTATTTTTAAATTATATATATATGTATATACTATACTTAATTATATCCATTTTATGTATACATATATTTATGTATTTAATTATCTATATATTTATATATATTTTATTACATGTATACATAAATTTATATATGTATATATGTATTTATATATTTAATTATATATAAATATATGTATATGATATATTTAGATGCATATATATATATTTTATCATATATGTGTATTTTATGTTTTTACTTATATATTATACATGTATATAATATTTTAATTATATACGTATATAATATATTTAATTGTATATATATCTTTAATTATATATATATGTATATATTTAATTATATATACTTTTATATCTCTATATTTAATATTATATATATTTTTAATTTTTTATTTATTACTATATACAATAAAGTATGAATAAAATAAAAAATTTGCTCAAATGTACAATCATATCATCATGTCAATCCAAATAAAAACAGCTGTCACTATTAGATATTAATAGACTATCATCCAAATATGGTTAAATTTGAACATTAATGAATCTTGCACATATCTGACCGTACTCAATATTAATGAACCCTCATGCAAGTCATCCAATCAGGGCAGTAGTCATCAATTTTCCTTTTTCCTCTCTTCCCCTTCTCTTGTAGCCCGACCTCCCTTTTTAAGGTGGAGAAGGAACGATCAGAGTTGTTGATCGTAATGGTAGAATCTGGGCTATCCATTGGTGAGTTTTGCATCTGGTACCATTCCTATTGCCATGTCAGTCCGCGTGGCGAAATCTGGGTCCTTCTTACCTACACAACAACCTTTGGCGTAGTTGTTACAGATCTCAATCTCCGATTGGCTCATGCCACCCTTCTTTTTTGCTGATCTGTGCATAATTTATCTTTTTTGTCTAGGTTTTGTATACAATTTCCTCTTTTATATCCCTTAAAAGAAAATTATCCAGTGTAATCACTATACATTAATTAATAGATATCTTATATATATATATATAAGTATGTTTTTTTTTTCATTTTTAACTCATACATTTTCTATAATCTTTTTTATTATCTTTTTTTTAGGTTTCAAAATTATAGGATTTTTCGTTCATTACATGCAGTATATCAATATATGAAGTTTAAAATTTACATAGCATTCTAAAATTTTACTCTTGAGAATATGAGTATGAAAATAGTTCAAAACGTGTGTAGTCATCATGACTAAGGAAAATATGGTAATTAAGATTATTGATAAAGAGATGTGTGGACGACCAAATGAGGTAAAAAGTATATTATAATTGTAGAACAAAAAGATTTATTTAGTAATTTTATTATAGGACACAATTCATGATCTTGTAGTTGTATGTAGAAGTTTCTTTGACATATGATTTGTATCTTTAAAAAGATGTTACTGAAAGAGAACTTCAAGTTTAAGAAAAAGTATTCATTTTGTGAGGAGGTTAAGAAATATCGAGATAAATGACGGTTGGATTGAAGAAACAAAAAACTTTCTTAAGTTACGTAAAACTCTAATTGTAACGCCCAAACAATTTGGGCATTTTTTTGTTAGTATTAATTTTATTTAGTTTAATTTTTTTTAAAAAAAGAGAGTGCCACGTCAGCGGCCCAGTCAGCAGCCCTGGCCAACCAGGACCTGCCGCGTGGCAAGACCACGTCGAGGGAACGGGCCACGTGGGGGATCCGCGTGCGCGCGGATCGGACGACCCATATGCGTCCCCGCGCGCACGGACGGCCCAGATCAAGAGTGCGCACGGACGGCCCAGATGCAATCGCACGGACGGCCCAGATGCATGCGCACGGACGGCCCAGATTCAATCAAAAACGGACGGCCCAGATTTAATCAAAAAGGACGGCTGAGATCAAAAGGCAAAAGGGTATAAATAGAATCCCCACACCTGACCACAAAAACCCTAGCCGCCTGCCCTCGCCGGAGAAGACGAACCAGACGCCGGAGGAGCCGGCCGCCGCACCGGGGAGATTTTCGACCGCCGATCGAGGTAAATTTCATACCCCCGACTCGTTTTTCCACGCTGAGTTCCCCTGTGGCCAAATCGGAGCCAAAATCCCGGCCAAACGGTCGAAAAACACGGCCAAAACCCAGCGACACCGCCGTGCCTCTCCTCGATTTTTGCCTCCGATGAGGCCCTTCCCGGCCTCCGTTTGATGCAATTTTTATATCACCGTGATCACCATTCTTTTCTCTACAGGTTGATCGGAGCCGAGTCACCAAAACACGAACCTCGCCGGAGAGCCGCCGCACCCGAGAGCACCGCCGCCGGTAAGTTTCGATTTTTCGTAATTTTTTGGCCCCCCGAGGGCCCTAGGGTTGTTTTATCACAGTGACTGATGTAAGTGTGGCCGAATTCGGCCGGAAACGGCCGAAAACAGCCAACCCGAGGTGAATATTGGCCGAAAGGGGCCCTGGGTCTAATTTGGGATTTTTTGGAACACGTGCAGGTACCAGTAGTGCGTTTTAGTTCCCCAAAAAAAATTTAGGAAAAATTAGGGACAGCCTGTAGGCGCACTGTGAAGCCGTGTTCGGACCCCGAAACGAGTAAGGACCCCTCACCCTATTTCCTATCACGGTATTAAAGTTCAATAATGATAAAACGGTATTTCTTGAATCAACGAATGTGTGAAATTGCTTAAGGTCGCTAATGGAGCCCGAGTCTAGTGTGTTTGTCGGTTAACTGTTATTTGGCATATTTTACAGTTTTAAATGCAGTATGAGGTCTGATGTTTTCATTTCATACTTTCATGTGCATATTTTACTGTTTTATTGATTATGGGTTGAATGACTGAGTAACCGATGCTGTATGTTGTCTTGTTTGGCATAAATTACTGTTTTGCTTGTTTGTGTGTGAATTGATGATGCTGACTGAGGAAAAGGGGAATGAAAGGTTATGTAAATTGATAATTGTATAATGTGATCAGTCTGACTAGATATCCTGGGAGATGGTGGACGGACCGGGTCCGTAGGGAACCCTACCGGGATTGTGGT